TTATATTCATATAATGTTTTTTAAAGCAGTTTCAACAAATATTTTGGCTCTGGGAAAGAATAGCTGCTTGTCACGGTTCATTCCTCACTCAGACACGAAAATCTTCATTATTTTATTTTATTTGCGTCTTCTGGATACTTATGTCAGATCTATCGCTCACAACCAGCGACGCCCACGCAGACAGCGGAATTTCTGCGAAGCGAGGTCGTTAACGTTATCGCGTTAAAATATTACATCGTGCACGCACACGCTAAGCTCGGCTTGGCCTCATTTTCCCAATCGAGAAGGGCCTCCTGAATTTTCCGTCCAAGAGAATAGCCGCAACACACTTGCTTTCTAGTTGATTGTTCTCATTGCATAACTTACCGCAATAGTCAAACGAGGCTAATTTAGCTATCCGTAGTATCGGCTTCATAATTACTCTTATTGGTACGGTTGGAGTGACGAGACCTTTGAATGTTTTAGATGAAGCTTTGGCTGGCAGGACAGAGATATTAACTTCCAAAGCCAAGGCTTTCATAGTCACCAAGGTAGAGCTGGAAAACGGAGCAATTAGAGCGATATAAAGTAGCAGCGTCCACCCGCGGCATCGGAGGCGATCGCTTAATCCCTTATCTGTCGACGTTTCCTACGGCCGTCTCAGTGGCACGTGCGATTGCGTTCGCCTTGGTGCCGCGGCAGACTGCCCAGACAGCGGGCGCAGTTCACTGCCAAGTCTGTCAAGGTGTTACGCCATGACCAAGAAACGAAGGTCCGCATCGCCACGCGTGAAACAACAAACAAACATTGAAAGCATAAAGCGGCATGCATAAATGTTTGGCCAGCACAGCAAAGGTTCACCCCCCCCCCCCCCCCATTTCGCTCCGGCGCTGCATTAACTAATTTCGCACAGGAAACTGTGCCGCGACTCCTTGACTACATCCGATGTGCGAGACACCGGCTTTCGCCACCATCCCGGTGAAGCTTTCGTTGTGAGACGAGAAATGGACTGACATACGGGGACATACGGGAACTTGTTTGGAACTCTATTCGAGCGGCTGCATCTGTCATACAAGCTGGTTCTGCTCAAGTGCGGGGTTTACCCGCCGCGGTGGTCTAGTGATTATGGGGCCCGACTGTTGACCCGATCGAAGGTCGCGGGATCGAGTCCCGGCGGCCGCATTTCGATGGAGGTGGAATGCTTGAGGCCCGTTAGCTGCACGTTAAAGAACACCAAATGGACGAAATTGCAGAAGCCCACCATTGCGGCATCCCTTCCCTTATAATGAAACCTTGGTTTTGGTACGTAAAACACCAGTAATTATTTTACAGTGTTTGTTTTCTTTAGATACTTGGATGGCCTCATTTGTTCAAAGTGGGGTTAAATGTTGGCGTCAAGTAAAAAAAAAAAGGACGTCACTCTGCAGTTAAGAAATTACTTCTTTTGGAGAGTTGCGCCTCCTACGACTCCGCAGAAATAAGGACCTTCAAGTGAGAATTGGCGAGTATCTTTATCGAGCTGTATGTGTCAAGTCGTGATTTGCAACAAAAAAATCAAAACAAATTTTGGTTTCGAGTGCGACCTACTCGAGTCAAGCGCGACCACAAGTGCTTGTGAGCTCGTGCCGATACTGGGACGGCGGTATATCGAAGCGATTTTTAACATAGGTCGACTGGGATACCCATGTATGAGATGTGCCATCAGAAATGCTGTTATACGGCCTTATCGCGGGTATACGTCAATGAGACAGTGTCTATGGGAGCACCCCTGTTATCCTAGCGTATTACAGGAATTCGATAAGCGGAAAGATTTATGCGGAGATATATTAATACGAAGCATGAGGGTCGCGGCGCAGACGGCAGAAGTTTGCCAGAATAGCCACTTAATTAGAGTAGCCATAGACACGCGCTGGCGTACAATGCTACTTACCTCACACGACACTTTAAAATGAGCGCTTTATGTCGTTTTGACTAGCACATCTCCAGGTGCATACATCCTCAGAAAGGAAATGACTTGTGGGCAGTGATGAGCATATCAGTTATTTAAGTGAAGCAGTGTTACACACAAGTTTCCACGAATCTTGTTATATGTATACCCCCAATTTTTTAACGTTTTTTTTATGAGCAAGAAAACAATTGTCTGTTTACTTGCAACACCGAACGGTAATCTTAGTTTTGAAGTCATACGCTAGGATTGAAGATATTATCGGTTAACCTTTTCATTAAATCCTAACTGGTCACACGTGTAATTCTTCTTGTAGCTAATTCTTAAATCTTTTTTTTTTGGAGACCAAAAGAAAGCTGCCGAATGTCCCATGCAGCTTCCTTAAACAGGTTATGACGCAAATATTTCCCGTTCTTTTTTTTTTTTTTACTGAAAGGCCCGGGACGTTTTAAAGAGCCTTGGAAACGTGAGATATTCCACAAAACAGTAATTACAGCGGATTTTTTCAAAGTTGGTTTTCGTTTCTACTCTCCTGACGTCACAACTCGGTATCAGCTTCTCGTCACGTTCTCGCGCAGAACGTGACGTTTACACGACCACTCCATGGCTCCGTTGATGACGCACTGAAGGTAATTTCGAGTGCTCCTGGTGAATCAGAAACGGTCCGTGGGAACAACTTGTGGGAACAGAAGGCTCAAAACAAAAGAAACGTTCAATCATCGGGTGACTGAACTGATGTCCCGGCCATGATGACCGAGCGTCTCCGTCGCTTCATCTTTCGCGGCCGCGATGCAAACCTGTTGATTGATTGATTGATTGATTGATTGATTGATTGATTGATTGATTGATTGATTGATTGATTGATTGATATGTGGGGTTTAACGTGCCAAAACCAGCATATGATTATGAGAGACGCCGTAGTGGAGGGCTCCGGAAATATCGACCACCTGGGGTTCTTTAACGTGCACCCAAATCTAAGCACACGGGATGCAAACCTGTCCACTGCAGGTTTTCTTGAATGTTCTTGTACCTCACGCCATCACAACCAGCCATATAAAGGTGCGTGAAGACCCGATAATCAACGATGTAACCTCAAGTCATGACGGTGTCGATACCAGTAGTTGCATCAAGCGAAAAACCGACTTCACTGCCAAAAATGAAATATCCTATCAGCATTTGCTGATCGTCACATTTTCTCAGAGCGGTCTCTTCACGCACTAGGTTGGTATGAATGAGTAAAAACAGCTTCGAAGTAAAAACGACTTCGAAAATTGTTGTCAGAACTCCCTTAAAACCAATAGCGCCGTCGCGATTGACAGCGTACGGTGCTCTCATAACACGGCAGTGAAGTTTATGGACCAGCTTTACATAAGAGTCCACTTCAACTCAGCACCGCACCGAGCGATGCTAGGCGAATTTGCCCTATAGCTTGATAAAGTTAACACATCGGCTATCCTACGTGAAAAACAAGTGTAAATAAATTATGTACCACAATTACCGCGTTATGATCACCGATAGATGAAAAGACCGCCTAGCTGGAGACTTTGCTGGCAAGTTTCGTAAGGCGATGTCGAAAGGCGTCACAGGTTTGAGCGGATAAAAACGTTCTTTTGCCATTAATGTGCCATTTCATCTTTTACGTAAACGATGTAGCTTGGAACGCACATACATGATTCGGCTTTGTCAGATCGATATTTTTGTTCAGAACAGATAAGAGAGAAAGAGAATGAGAAAAACATGCCCGACAACTTTGTTGAGTCTATAGTGCCTGCTAAATATACCGCATAACCTCTTTTGACGTGTGGGAAGCGCTGCTCGTATTTTTATGCACTATTGGTTAATGCGACGAGTGGGTCTTTGCCGCAAACCATGCTTATCCTTTTCCACACTGAAAGCTGTTTGGAGCGTGAAGGAGCTGGCTACGGCAGTTCGTCTATCCCTTTCGTTGCATCATCATCGCCAGGCCACCTTTCTGCCCACAGCATTTTAGAGGACTCCTAAACCACCCAGGGGTCGAAATTTAGTAGTGGTGTAGGAGTTGTGCACAGGTGCACGACCAACCCGTAGGCACAAGAATTATTTTAAATGGTGCCGTAGTAGCGGAGCTGCACACGTTTGATGACCGAAATGCGGCCCTCCCTCATTTCATTCTTTCCGTGTATACTCTATAGGTTCATTGGCTCGCCTCTCCTCCTGGTCCTTATCCCACGCGAGAAGGATAAGGACACCAGCAGGAGAGGCGAGCCAGCTCGCATGGTGAAGAGGATAAGCATAGAGTGCGCGTGTACTTGCAGGCAAAGAAACAGGTTCTTTCGGCGGCTGACATGACCAGAATGACGTCCCTACCAATGATTGGAAATACGGAAAGATCCGGGGAAAAGCACGAAATTGTTTCGCTTTGTGGCCGCCCACGGAGCGTAGCGCTGCCGCCTTTGGCACTGTCAATCGTGACGCCATTCTGAACTCAGTGTGCACATGTTGAAGTGCTAAACAAATAATTAGAAGTGGTTTAGGGTACCTTTGGAGCTAAGAAGCTCGCCCTGAAGGGCGGAACTCTTAAGCTTAGAAAAAGAATCATCACCGAGCGTCATTTAGTGCAAAATCTGATTTCAAAGTTTACATTGTGGTTGTCATTGTAATAGTGGTTTCGTGCAATAAGCAGGGGCGCTGAATAAGCAGTATATATTGGTAAACATACGTATCAGACTACTCCGAGGCCCTTCACTTTCAACGCGTATCTTTAACTTAAATGTTTTACTTTAAACTAAAGTGGTTCATGTTGCGCTGCTGACGCAAGATACCCATCGCGGTAGTCTATTAGTTGTGATGGTACTGCAAACCGGAAGGTCGCGAGATGGAATGCCGGCCGTGGCGGCCGCGTTCCGATTAAGGGGAAACGCTAAAGCCCACGTACACGTATAAGGGTGCGAGTTCCCAGGTGGTCGAGATTTCTGGAGCCTTCTTATACGTCCATCACAATGTTATTGCAGTACTGGGGCGCAAAACCGTCACAATTATTGTTATTATTAGGCTTGTTGTTGCACTATAGGTAAAAATGTTCTCTTTTTTTTTTCAGTTTTCGCAGATGAAGGCGACAACTCTGCTCAAAATTGGTGAAGATGTTCGTGCAGCGATCACGAGAAGAACAGACGAGAACAGGTGCTGTCTCTCAACTGAAGCTTACTTTGGCAAGCAAGAGGATACCAATAAAGAAAAAAAAGGCTGCCCATAATGACTAATATGTGAAGCCACGTGATCATCAATGTTTAAAAAAAAAGACACAGTATCGCATAAGGACGATGCAATGAATGTGATTAGCAGCGAACTATTACACTATGCGAATTCAATCTAGAAGATGACACTTTTGGATCTGAATTCGCGTACGCCCCGCCACGGTGGTCTAGTGGCTAAGGTACTCGGCTGCTGACCCGCAGGTCGCGGGATCGAATCCCGGCTGTGGCGGCTGCATTTCCGATGGAGGCGGAATGTTGTAGGCCCGTGTACTCAGATTTGGGTGCACGTTAAAGAGCCCCAGGTGGTCGAAATTTCCGGAGCCCTCCACTACGGCGTCTCTCATAATCATATGGTGGTTTTGGGACGTTAAACCCCACAAATCAATCAATCAATCTGAATTCGCGTAAATCGACAAAACGCTCATACGGCCGCTCAAAGGAGCAAAGTGATTTTCGTGCTATCAAGTAACGCGAAGCAAGATGTTGTAGAGCACCGTGTGCGCGTGCTCCAGCGACCACGCTCTTTGAGGGACGCAGCTGATCTCCTCGCCCACCTTCTCTGGCCTCCTTTCATGCTTCTGGGACAGGGATTCAAGAACAATTGTTCAAGCTTCATAGCTTAACAAAGTTTTCATTATGTGCCCCCAAACGTAGCTTGGTCTCTTTCAGACTTGGCAAGCGTATACGCACATTTCGTACTTACATTTCTTAGAAAAAAGAAATAACTGAATAACTAACTAACTAAAGAAAGAAAGAAAGAAAGAAAGAAAGAAAGAAAGAAAGCTCATAACCCTTTGAATTTTTATCCTGATAAATGTCAAGGATGTAACGGTGGCTTCATGAACACCACAAATCATAAACTTGCGACCATGGTACTTTAGAGAACAACGAGAGAAGCGTTGAGCCTGCCGTAGGCATGAAACAGAATGCTGGTGATGATAATTGCTGATGATGGTGATCACCCATTCTCCCTACTCAGCCTCCTGCCATTCGGAACACCTTTCTCATCATCCTGTTCTTGTTTGAACATCTCAATTTCGTTTTGCCGCAGGCGTTGTCACGTTTGTACGACGACGAGGCATGTCGGGAAAATAATGAGCCACTTCTAGATTTGCCACCTAAGCGTGATTAGAAACTTTGTCCGACTTTGCAGAAGTGCGATACAAGCCTTGCGTCGTGGTACAAAACACCGCCGATATCTGCGGCAAGTGCATGCGTATACACTCAGCACAAACGTCAGCGAAATCGAGGAAAAAGGGCCGGGATCCCGCACGTGGCGGCCAGTCTTTTGTTTACTCGCCATCGTGGGGCGTTGTCTCTCGTGGAGGACGCGGCAGTCGGAACAGCAGAGGGTGAAAGCCAGGAAGCGGCGTTCCTCTTCAGGCCCGCTAGTTACGTGCAGCGTTTATGCACACGCTTAGGTTAGGGGGCGCCGGAGCAGCCTCACAGGTAAGACGAGAGGCGCAGGGGCTGCCTTCTTACCGATGTGCTGTATAGTAGGAGGGACACATGGAACATCCATGTCGCGTCTATCTGACAAACCGTATAGAGGAAGGGGAAGGGGAGAAGGGATTAGCATAGTCAGCTATCGCCCCAGGCTTAAGAGAAGAAAGCCAGAAATATACATACTAATTACATAATTACAGTACTCGTATTTCTACTATCTTGTGTCTTCGTCTGTGACGATGTTACGGCGCTGCAACTGCTGGTACAGTCACAACACGTTTTCGAGAGAAGGCAGCTATTCGAAAAATAGGTGAAGAGGAAGGGTTGTATTAACGTGATCATTTGTGTGTTCATACAGAAGGCAAAATACTGTTTTCCACAATTTTTAGAATTCGTTTGCCCCAGCAGCAACGCTTAATACGTGAACTGCTCCCCTGGTCCAATTCTGATTCCCTGATCCAATTGTGATTAGACACGGCTTTCGAAAGAATAGCCAGTGAATGAAGGAGTCTGATCCAATCAGCTACATTTAATCTGCACGATTACAAGGCACCCATAGCGCCAATCAGTATGGCCGAGGCAGCTGTCATTTGCGGGACGTTAGGACGACCGTGTTCGGTTTTGCAATGAACCGTTCTTAACTTCGCATAAAGGCTACAGTCTTCAATAGCGCTGCATGCTTCTGGAGAAAAGAAATCGGTATAAAAAGAAGCAGCGCTGCTTTCACAGGCATTGCCTGTGGGGGTGAGAGGGAGAAAGACAATGTCGCCCGCCCCCGTTCTCCGATGACAAACCGCTGTCGCGACCGGCGACCCGAGAAGCGGCTTCGACAGCGAGGGAAAGTGGGAGAGCACTGTGCACCAAAGTGCGAGGTGGAGTGGTCGAAGAGCCAGGCTATCCCTGCACCGGAGAAGTTACGAAAGCCGCCGGCATGCGGACGCAAACACACACATACCTCGTCGTGGGCGCCCGATGTGTGCACGAGACTGAACGCTGATCCGGACGATGTACAACACTGCGAGCTTGAGTAAATATCCGAATGATGATGATGATGATAACGCAAGAGGAAAAACAGCGCTGTAGTCGGTGTACTAAAGTAGGAGAACAGTCCGAGGGGCTCACTTCCTTGTGTTATACGCAACCAATGAAAGCGGTGGGCAATTAAGCCAAGGAGGGCATAGGGGATGTGACTGTGTTGTAATGAATCTCGCTTTAATTGAAAGGTATTAAAGTAATACGACAAATCACCCCTTCGGTCAATGGAATACCACCCCAAAACCTCGAAATAACGCGTCTTATGCTCTACCACACATGACGGAGGGCGCACACGCGTCTATACACTCGCCTAGGTGGCGAGTGTGGAACAATTTTCCGCCAGAGGGCGTCACGGGGACGTGAGCATAGCATAAAGTGTGAGCTGACGCATGCAAACCTTTCATCAAATGCAAAAAAGCTGGTTACCGAAAACGACTACCGCTTATTTGCAGCAGATACCCACTGCAAAATTCCGGTCAATTTGCATTGTTGTGGCACTATAGGAACCGCGTGGATTTCGAGAGTGTTTTAAATTTAGAATGGGGCCCCATCTGTCCTAGAAAGCGACGTTCTTTGCAGTGCGACGCTACAATTTTACCAGAATCTTTCAGCGTGTATCTGCTCCATATAGCCAGAAGTCGTTTTGCTGGGTAACTGGTATTCTTTCGGCAGATATATTTTTTTCGCCCATTTCCCATTCAGTTAAATCAGGACGCGGTTGCTGCCACTGAGACTTGGCACCACGTACAGATGCCCCAAATCCTGGGAATGGAAGCCCTCGCCATAAGGGAATCATCCGAGTGGTTCGTTTTTTCTGTATTACACGTGCACTTACACATGCACTTCACAGTAACCAAAAAGGTACCGTCGTTCATCGCTGGAGGTTCCCGCTATGCCTGTTCATTAATTCAATAAAACGTCTAATTTCCAAAACCAAAAAAAAAGCCGACAAGGCAGTGAATATTGATGATCAACCATATACCAGGAATATGGTTCCAAACCTCAGTGAAACTGACACCTCATGAAAGCTAGTGTGTTTTATTTCCCTGTATCTTGGTTAAAAATAACCCTTGAGCCACAAAACCACTATTAGCTTCTTATAAGCTCCAAAACAATGCCTTCCCGTAAGTCTTCTCATAAATCTAAGTTCTTATGATGGCTTACTTAACGCACTTATTTTCCGCTTTGGATTTATCGTTCCTGGGAAACGGCTATATTGATGTGGTCGCCTCCTTTATTTATTTATTTTTTTGACCACTTGTGACTCTCTTACATTCCATTAGATAGAAGCGTTCTTTGTGACAACTTCCGAGTCGTCAAAAGCCCGTGGCTCTGCCAGCCTTTCGGTTGAGTTGAGATGCGAACGCCGTGAATTGTCGAGAGAACAGCTATAGGCGCCTTCCTATACAGAAGTTGCTGGGTTACTGGTTGGAAGTCTCCCAATTGTTCACATAGAACACGCTTATTTGTACTCACCTGAGCATGAATTATTTGCGGTTTAAGTACAAGTAAATGGGAATAAGTTCAGCGTAAGCCAACACCGCGCTTCCTTTGGCTACATCCAAATCCTCTGGGGACAAAGACATGTGCCACCGCCTTGTGTTTCATTAAAACCCTAGCATGTTTTGGTCCCCTTTATCTGCGTGCCCCGCCGCGGTGGTCTAGTGGCTAAAGCACTCGGTTGCTGACCCACAGGTCACGGGATCGAATCCCGGTTGTGGCGGCTGCATTTTCGATGGAGCGAAAATGCTGTAGGCCCGTGTGCTCAGATTCAGGTGTAAACTATAAAGAACCCTGCACAGCCGAAATTTTTTAGCCCTCCACTAAGGCGTTCCTCATAATCATATGTGGTTTTGGGACAAAAAACCATCCCTATTATTATTATTATTATTATTATTATTATTATTATTATTATTATTATTATTATTATTATTATTATTATTATTATTATTATTTCGTTCGAGTTCCCGGTCAGCCCAGTGAACTTGGCAGCTCGCATTCATCACACAATGCTGTGTGCATAAGAAGGATGAAACTTTCCAAGTCTCAAGATTTGCAAGAAACTGACGCCCGAAATCAAGTTGTACGTTTCTCCAAGGATACAGAATGAACGCTATCGGAGAGATGGATATGCTATCTCTACGTGACCGCAAAACACTACCCCAGAGGGCCTTGGGGGTCGCAGTGCACGGAAAAAAAACTTCCACCTCACGACACGCACGGGTTGAGGACACGAGCTCAAGCTGCGAAGATACGAGCAAACCAAGAGGGCCGTGTTTGCATTGTCGCGATAGATCAAGGAACCAACAACGGTGCTTGATCTATGCGCCGTAAACAGATCGAAAAGTTTACTCCGAATGTGGGACACGACGAGCTGTGGGGAAGGAGTAGAGTCAAAGGAAAGTGAGACACGGGGCGGACAAGCCGTCCCATCATGACAGGCACGCGTAACACCGCTCATGGGTGTCTCAGTTGACAGCGGTTACCGGGTCGACGTAACGCTAGCTTTCCTTGTGTACACACCAAAGTGGGTTCAT